TCTTTTCAAGAAATTAATATTACTTTTTGTCCTGAGACTGGAGTTGGTTCTCTATGGGTAAGGGTGTCTGTCACAAGTATATGGAATTTCCATCCCTACCTCAGGATCAACAATAGTTTAGGTTATAAGGGGTGTAATGACGTATTGATTCGTGGATTAATATGTATTCTCATTCTCATGATATATGCATCAAATTGCATTCGTGAGAAATTATTCGATCGTTTTGGTAAAAGTTTAGCTCTGCAAATTCCTTGCTTACACTACTGCCGGTGGAAGGGTCTAGAGAGCCCCTCTAGACGGCCAGATATCTTGGAAGAGCTGGGTAATACCTGCACTGTACCCACCAATCGACAAACTGCGGGACAGAGTGGACAGAAGCGGATTTATTTGTATGCTTTAAATTGGCTCACATGACTCCTGCAGCCACTAGAGGTGGTACAATGCACCGTTGTTAATCAAAGGTATAGATTAAAACCGAATTGTGACCCTGAATTGGGACGATTTATTGGTTCGCGAGGGGGGATAAATCGTCTGCAGGCTTGCTTGCAAGACATCACCAAACTCCTGAGAGAGAATGGATACGCATTAACGCAGCTGTTTGTATTAATACACACGTGGGACCACGTTAAATCGCTAGAGTATTCACATACAGTACACAACCTGGAGTTTTGAACAGTTAGTCGACATTTTTTAAATAGTTACTTTTGATCAGTATCCTTAGTTTAAAACGCAATAATGAATAAGATATGGTAAATATGGCAACGTATTTGCAGTAATGTTTTATTCTCTGTTGGCATTTGACTTGGAGCTACAATGCTGGATATATATGGCATTTGCTTTTTTTACATCAGAAAATGCAACACTTTCTCAGACATATATTGTCATGCAGCAGTTTCAAATACAGGAATCTGACTTGAATTTCGGATTGAAAAGCCGTGTATATTGATTGCTGACCCCCGTAATCACTATGCCACCAATAGCATGCACGTACCCAGGTACAATGCACCAATCTGTACATACTGCTGGAACAAAACGAAGTATTGAGCACTCACATTGGCAATAATGAAATCTGAAGGGGAGTTGTGTTTTGGGCAAAGATAAGGGTGAAACACGGTAGGGGTGTTAATATAACATGGCAACAATGTGTTGTAGATTCAATCAGTAACAATTGTTGCAATCGGTGGGGCATGTGTAGAATAGAGCAGAGCAGATCACAGAGACAGATGTATTGACACCCAGAAGTTGATAATCAAGGTGGAATGAAGCAATGGTAAGGTGTGGTGGCATGACCTTGTGTGACGATCACCCCTTGTTCAGAGTACTCTTTGGTCACCTTTGACTTTTAAAGCAGTGAGCATGTTTACACATTGTATCAGACCCATATTCTCGGTTTTAAGCTAAATCAACCTAAATGAGGTCCAGACACTGGTGTACTTTGGTGTAAATGAAACCCAGGCCAAGGAATTATAGAGTTACACACAAACTACTGGACCTACCACTTATAAAAGACATTCAAAACGAATTCCCAAATGTTCACTGGACAGTGCTCATTTTTGTAGAAGACTGAAAAAAGATAATCCATTCCACATTTTTATGGTGGAGACCAGTCTATCTATATGACTACCAATCTTCAGGGCATTTAATATTTACTCTTGAGGGATGATGGTCTGGGTCACTCCCTAACTGGGATATTATATAAGATAATGTACGTATAAACCAGCCCATACCAACATACATACAACCATACTTATCGTAGGCTAAGTTGACCTTGGGAACACCAACCATTGGTTCAAATATTACACAGCATTAATGTCCACGGTGCACCAGGAATCAAACGTACACAGCAAGACACACATATTAAACTGGGGATGAAAACACCCAAGCCTTGAAAATCACATACGCGGTCCCTTTATCCCATGCCTGTTATCCAATTTACAAGAATTGGAGGGGATGGCTTGACATGGAAAGATGCTTGTCCAACAGCTTGCTCACCATCGCTGCAGTATGTTATTCACCTACAATGTTTGCCAGGAAAAATTGGGATACTGCATCGGGTTTGTTGCTCAGGTACACATAAACTAAGTGTCACAGTAATATGCCAAGTCTGCTATTCTTGAATGTAAACCAACATATTTACTTCGCTGGGGACAATAACTCAAGGTTTTTTTTTCAGTGATGCTAAGTGGACCAGAGCAATGATAAGTGGATTAAATGGCTATCAGTATAAACATTTCACGTTGATATAGAGACATTCTTTTTTTTTACTGGCAGAGATGGCCATTTCTGCCATCAGCAAACGCTTATTCTCACTGGGGCTTTTGGCTTTCAACTTTACCAATTCACGTTTGTCAATCAGGTACAGTGTGTGCCAAATCCTGCCCATTCGCTACAAACATTGCAATACAATGTTATAAATAGCATACAAATGCATGTTACCTCTAACTGCATCATAGACAATTGTAAAATACATTCTGAGCGTGATATTATGAACATACTCAAGTCGATAATCACATTTTCTTCCTGCTCAAACGAGCAACTGCATGGCTCTCATGTCCATTGGTGGTGCTGAGCCAGTGGGGTGCTTTCCACATGCCTATGACGGGGCCAGCCCCCCTGTAGGAATAACACTAATGGCTGTGCACAAAATTGTACTGTGCTGATATGTCAGTAACTCTGAAGGAATGATAGTCTAACAAACATACTCTACACAAATATACACAACAACAAAATTGCAATGTATGGTTATAATATTATGTCATACGTGTAAACATATTCATTGGATACAATATAATTTGCTAGATGCGTGGTTCTAGAGTATTTCTGATTATATTGCTGCCGATTTAAATTCTAGGTATTTTTCGATTTAAAGCTTTCGTGACTGCAGGGATTCATCCTCTTGGTTCTTTCGGTAAAGTCACGTAGAAGGGAAATAATAAAACAATAAAAATAAAACATATAAAATAATTCTCACGACGTTTCGGCCACAACGCAAGCAGCCGTCCTCAGGTGAAGAACAGGTCTGTTGGAAAGACAGTGTCTGAATGAACACCACCACGCTTGGCAGCATATATTTAAGCTGGGTTGGACCTGTTCTTCACCTGAGGATGGTTGCTTGCGTTGTGGCCGAAACGTCGTGAGAATTATTCTATTGTTTAATTTTTATTATTTTATTATTTCCCTTCTACGTGACTTTACCGAAAGAACCAAGAAGATATAGGTATTTTGTCAACTAATATTGTAAATATATAGGGCCTAAGATGCCTAAGGTTCCACAGTGATTGGCGAACACACATGTAGAAAAGACCACACAGCTGGTTCCAAGAAATTAAACACAGCCTAATTTAACATCATGTGAATTAAGCTACAAGGGACTGTCATTCCCTATTTCCAAAAGATATAGATACTGATGGCTGTTCAAGTGTCCGAAAAGATTTATGAAATAAATGGAAGTGTTTTCCCAATACCCCGATGTCCTGACCCTACGAGACATGGGTTTAGAATGGTCAGGCACCCTAAAAGTCATTTAATTAGGGCTGTGACTGATGAAAGCAATCAATCCGGTGGCTTGTTAGTAACTGTTGTTCTTTGGAGCTTAAAATCAGGTGAGAAAACCCTTTATTTAAAGTCCACATCCGAAATAGCAAAAGCCCGCACAGTTGTATAATATATCATATACCAAATTAATTGTATTTAAACTAAGCAACGTTGCACTTTAAGTGACACAGCTCTCAGTTCATGACGATCAGCTTCACCTCAAAAACAAATAGAGTGTTAAATGCATCTTTACGGCCGTAGAGAATGGTTACATTTTACAATTATACTACTCTTACAATAACCGCAGTGATCATGCATATTTAATCACTGTGTTTATGAAGAAACACACACACTTCCAGGCCAGTGCACTCTTGTATAGTCTAACACACACAACTCATTGTGGGTTTCTAATTGCTCCATGTACATGGTTGTAGAAGCTCTTAACTTCATTCTAATTACAACCACATGCGATGAACAAGCACAGATACGACGGGGGGAAAGTAACATTTTACATAGCAGAACGAATGCAATTCATAGATGAAAGGGAGACGTGTGGCTCCAACGTGAACCAACACTGCGGTGTCCATTTAATCGCACGAAATTGACTCGTTCCCTCTTGCAACTTCTTTTCTCCCTCCAGGGAATGCAATGCACCTCTTACGTGGTGTTGTTGTTGTCTAATGTCCGACTAATGTGTTATTCCGCGCTCGAGTTTAATGAATGGTTGCCACTGGAGCAGTTCATCACATAGCATGTGTGTACGCAGAATGAAGTGCTATTGAGCAAACGTTATATATATGCATTAGTCCGATAATTAATAATATATGAAAGGAAAGGAACACCAAATGTAATAACAATTATATATTGTGCGTCCAAATGCAGGAGATGAAACGTTAAGGAATCATTGTGTCGCTCACATGTAAGCACGGTACATCACCCATCTCGTTGTTAGACAACCATGCACCTACTGCAATGTGGTGGGACGACGTTACATTGTCCCTGCATGCGACACCACTATGCAACATGTCCTTTGTGTCGTTTTTAGTCACCCACTGGCCACCTCTTATTGATCTTTTTATTCCCCACCTCCAATTCACACTTCCGTTCAGCAGCAGAAGATCAACAACAACAACAAACCGTATAGGTCCGCTCTAAATTAACAACGCCAGCGTAAGGATACGGCAACACAAAAACAGAGAGGCACAAGCAACGGGGCTGTGTCTCGAACGGTACACTCGTCCATGCAAACGTGCGCGCAAAACGACATTTCATAATGTAGGGCACGCATACCACAACAACAAAAATATACACACACAAACCACACGTGCCGCTCGCATGATACTGAGATAAAGGAAGGAAAAAAACACACAAACCGGGCGGGCACATAATGAACCCCCGGTTTTGGTAATTTGCGCGAGCCGCGTATTTAAAGAAAAAGAGGTAAGATTTTTTTGTTGGTTTCTCACCTACAGCCATCCATCCAGAATGCCACGGAAGCACTGTCATTCACTCCCAGTGCGCACCATGGTCGGAATGTTGTCAGTATATTACATAAATAAATAATCAATTCCGAGCTAGATAGATAAATAAATAAACAAATAAATGAACAACGCTCAACCTGCTATACACTAACAATATCTCTACCTCCCACCCCTCTAAATATATATTTATATACGTTGACACCAAGCGGGGGGTTTTTTAGGAGTAAATGCACCGGCTGACGACGACGCCGCTAGTTTTTTTTTCTGAATGTTTTTTGCTCCTACCCCCGTCCCCTTATTTTTTTTCCTGGGTAGCTTCGGGGCTCTCTTTTTTTTACACCAACATGGAGATCAGCGCTGGTTGGAGTCTCCCGTGAATTCTCACGCCCGTCGCCACGGTTACATACCCCCTCCCTCCCATCCCTCCAGCGAACGCCATGGCAACGACAGCTCATTCTGCCCACTCTCTCTCTCTCTCCTCCGTTTTCCTCCCTCCGCCCCATTCCTCCAGCTCGGTACCTCCCAACCGCCCCCTCCACACCCTCGTTCATCCTGTTATACGTTACCATGGACACCGTTGCTTAGGAACCAATGCCCCGCCTCTTACCTTCCTTGCTATGTTTTTCCCCTCCCGTCCAGCCCTTTCCCGATTATGTTTTTTTTTCTGGAAGCCCTCCGTGTGTGTGTGTCTGCTTGGCAGTGATAGTTGTACTAGCGGGAATTCTGATGGCTCACGCTGGCGCGAATGAGAGTGGTGCATGCGTCTCAGCGGGCGCGCGCGAGTGTGAACGTGCGCGCACGCGTGGCCCCGTGTGGCACGTTGTGATCTTCAAAGGGCTCTTTGTGGCAGCAGTAAACTGGTATGAACTGGAACCAAACGGCGCGTCGTGAATGAATGTAATCGAAGAGAAAGCTATCAATCACCCACCTTATTAGTTAGACTTTTCTCCAAATTCACATTGATATTTGTTTTTACTTATTACCGTTCAATGTCCCTCGAATCTAATTCAATTATTTGCATATTCGCATCGGCAGCCCTGTGTCTCGAAAAGACACACGGGGACAAACGCGAAATGAAGTGTGTGTGTAAATTTGAAAAATAAAACAATATTTGCAGCGTTAATACGGTGCAGTTTTGTCATCCGATTCCAATAGCGTCGTTGTCCCCTGTTAACCTCAGCCCCAGTCAAGAAATGCATTCCGATGCACGTGAGTACGTTTGTGCTGACGTCAAACAGAGCAGTAGCAGCTAGATCCCCAAAGCAGCAATTGAGATGCAGAATTTGCACAGAACAGGACCATGGATGCTTACTTCACCCGAGCTCTGAACTTTCACATTTAAGGGAACAGATTCATTGTGTATTGTTATATAATATACTAGCGGTAAGTACCCGGCGTTGCCTGGGCGAAAAAGACAGACACACACATCGACTTAAATACACTTTCTATGTACATGAGTTTAGTGGAAGAAGCAAGGAACATACATATAATTTGTCGGCACACACATTATGATTGTAATATTAGCAAGGTGATTATTGAAAAAATTGGTTTCTATGGAGGTAATTTGACACCAAAAAAAAGGAATGCAGAGCAAGTTAATAATCAAATAATAGTTGTGATTACACAAACGAAAATATGTCCTTATTTTTAGTTTAGCGAAAGAAGCATGGAATACAAAAATGAGTTGTCTGCACATAAATAAATAAACAGGCAGACGTGTCCAATTAAGCCCGGTAAGCTGTAGGGGCAGTTACCAGCGAAGACAGCCTCATGCTCGCCCACCGTTATCTTTCGAATGCCGATTTTGCCTCGTAGAGACACACGCCAAGGCCGTCTTCCGTCTGGTGTTGTGCACCACGCGTCCAGGTATTGAAAACGAGATGGTAGATGCACCACATAAGTGCACGTGCGTATGTCGTCTAAACTCCCAACAGTTTACTCCCCACTCACCCAGTGGTACACAAGGTCTTGCTTTTGCGAAAGTGAACAGCCACATTCTTGACATGATGAGGCATAACGCATACAAATATGCGTTTGTTTAAAGTGAATGTATTATTTTTCTGCCATTTAAATGTATCCCATAAAACATACACCACGCCCATTTGACCTTGCAGTCATGGGTGGGCAGTTCTGTATAGATGCATTCATTTGCGCTTACATACACATTTATTTTTGCTGAGCCTTTGTTCATATTTGAAGCTTACATTGCATATTTACTCAAGTTTATAGCCTATTTTTTCGTGGATATCAAAGTGGAAGGGCCCTACTCATGTAGCAACTTTTGCGTCATTCCACCACTTTTGGAGGAACGATGGTAATTTTTCACATACAATCGGACACAGTGCACGAATATTCAATCATCGTGTGGTCGATTGCACATCAAACCAAAGCCACTCGGCATTGCGTCAGTCACACTTTGCGTGTGACTGTCACCTCCATTCGAAAAAAGGTGTGAAAACCAACTTTGCATAAATAGGACTCAAAGTGTCTCCATGTTTATACCACTGCACAAGTGAGCCTCGCCAGGGCCGTGCCAAGCCAGTCCGGTTGCGATTCAGGAGGCGTCGTGTTTATTTTCCACTGCAAAAGCCACTGACGTGACAGGCAACGAAAGAGCCGAGTAGCCTTATAGATTACGCGGCGACCCCATGCAGCGCTGATTTCACATGCAATGAATGTGTCATAAGTAACCCCCCACCACTGGCTCTGCTTGACCCCAAGCCAGATTCAAATCTCATGTAAAGCGAGTGTATCACAGTTTGGTACGGGACCACCCATATTGTGTGAACCACGCGCTGGCGCCGCTTGGATACACTGATGGGAGAAAAAAATTCATAGACGTTCAAATGTGGCAATGGGGTACCAATTATGTCATATTCTGTGACGACGAGACAGTGGTGGAATTCCACATGTCTAAAGCTGAAACCATTCTCTTCGTAGGAGGATAAATGTTGACTTTTCAAAAAGTTGTAATTCATTTTTATCAACCCAGGTCGACTTTTGCAAATTCAATTAGGTTTGAACATGCAACCTTCCAATTTGTGAGGGAAGCGATGTGTAAAATTATATCCGTGGTTATATATCGTTATTCATAAAGTTATTCTCATTTGGTGCCTATAATGTCTAAAATATCAGCAAAGGAGCAATACGTGCCGTTTAATGTTGGCACTGCATTGCATCAAACTTGTGTAGATAAATATATGCGTATGAATCTATATAGTTCGTAAGTATGCATATATTAAATGTAAATACTGCTGCATAGGTTTTCGTAATTGTACTGCACCATTCTCAGACAGCCGTTTGGGTTGTAGCATATGTTGTTCAGAATCACGTCCGACGCTTCGCTCCACGATGCTTGGAGATTCTTCAAGAATGCTCAATGTGATGCGAAACGTTAGACATCATGCCGAACGGCTTGTGGGGGGTACAACGTGAAACCGAAACATAGATATGAAGTGTCAAAGTGCTCGAAAAGAGTACACTGTACTCACAAAAAGGTATGCGCTGCACCTGATAAGCTGTGAAATCAAACGGAATGGGGCTGGTGTCTTGCCCTTTAGTGGGCGTTAGCAATACACAGCAGCTTCGACATTGTCGTGGCATCATCCGTATTCCCTACGTATGCATGTATGTTGAACCTCTTTCGCACCATACGTAGCCAATCGTGCTAATCAGAGGTGCGGGGGAAGGACGATAAACTAAACACAAAAAGCAGTTCTAAATAAATTAGTTTTCAACCTAGACGATTTTAAAGTGCATAGCTCCAGTGGCATCATCATGTCGAAAGGAAGAGTGTTGAAGACGGCCGCAGAAGCTGCTGTGTGCTGCTGGATTGCGGACATTATGTCTGGCAAACGCATAAATTACACCATACTGCTCCTACAGGGTGAATTATTGAGACAATGTTCCACTGACACGTTTGGTCAACATAAATTCAAATTACTTTCACTTAAAATGCTGCTCAAAATATGACCGAGTTGTGTGATTTTCTGAATATTTTTCATTATCCATAAATGTTCACAATTTATATACATTAACACGTATTACATACATATTTATATTCAAATTGCTATGATACCCGTTGCGGTTTCAAATAGCATACGACCATGCATTAAATACTAAAATAATAATCTAGCACTATTGTGGTTCTAAATATTAATAAGAACACGTCTGTTTTTTCCACGTTAAACTTATATGTAAAGTTCCATAAACGGTATCATAGTAGAGGAGGTTATTGTCGCGTGGTGTTCTTGCGATGTGGATTTGTGCGATGGGGGAATTATTTTTTTCGAATATTGCATTTTCAGATTTTAAGGCCCGATTTTAATCATTCGTAATTTTGCATTCTATTTCGGATTCTTGTATATTCAGATTTAAAAAATACTTAAATAACTTTAATCGGTCATGCACTCCTTGCATATGGACAGTGTTGATAGAAATTTACATACACACTACATATTTAATGACTACTACTTCATGTTAATACAATTGTGAAGGTTATACCCTAAACTAATTATATAAATGGCTTCGATTGCTAACTCGAGCAAATTTCTGGGTGGAGTTTGTATGTCCTGCCTCTTTTCTGCATTAATTTCCTCTGGGTTCAAAATACAACTTGTGTGAGCCCAAAAAAAATCGTAAGATACAAAAAATACCTGAAAATTATTTTCGGGATTACACGCAGCAGCTGCTACAGCAGCATCGGCCACCTACTGCGAAAATTTGGCAGAAACCTCTTGTATTATGTTCGGTGAGGCTTTCGTGAGTAAGCAACCGCAATGATGATCATACAAATGAGAGAAAAATATGTGTTAACTAACATCGTTTATTGGCCATCGCGTGCTGAGTGCCAGAGCCCTATTTTTTTTATTTGTCCACTGATGAATAGAAAAAAATCATAATACATGTACCAATATAGTTGCAAACAATGAGTTTCCAGTTATCCATTCCAAAAGAGAGAACATTGACTCTCGGTTGGAGCACACCTATTTAAAATAAAGGGCTATTGAACTTCATTTAATTGACTCGCTCTCAAAATGTGCAAATTACTGAGAGCATTTTATGATTGAAAGAGTGATGAAAAGCTGATAGCGTGGCAGTTAAAGCGCTCTGCAATGGAGGCAATGCGTTAGTAACAATAACCGTTGTATATTTGATGCTGTGCATGTGCACATTTTCATGAAGCCATAGGGGTGCAATTGAAATATACGACGGATGAATGATGTACTACAATTGGTGAACAAGGGCTCATGGGGGAGAGGGGGGGCGGGGGCGGAGCCGAGGACGCGACAGGCGTGGGTGTCAGCAAAGTTGCCAAACAGATTTGATTTGCAAGAAGCTCAAAGGCTA